CCCAGACGTTCTTGGATTGCAACTCCCAGAAGCCTTTCATCACCTGGGCCAGGATTTCTGGGAGTTGCAGCCCAAGAAAATCTGGGGAGCCAAAGTTAGGAATTACTGATGTGTTGCCTTATTTTTCACAGTCCTAATGTTTCATTCCTCAGTATGATCTGGTGCTGGGAGGTACTCTGTTTTCAGGGCACTGTGTGTGAGTGTGATGATCCAGCTCGCACTTGCACACCGTGGTGTTGTGATCTTGTCTGCGTATAAGATAGCAGTGTGATGCTTCTTACCCCTTCTGTGTTTTTTTTCACCCTCTGCTCATTTCCTCATGAACTGACCTGTGTGTGAGAGAGACAAGTCCTTTGTCCTGTAATGACAGAAGTACTTAGCGTATCTCCCATCGTCTTTGATTTCCACATGGCCTGCCCTGTTTTACACCTTGAACAAAGGTGGCTGATGCTCACTTTTGACAAGTTTCATCCCAATACACTTTCCATTAACGGCCAAGACCCAGGGGAGCTAATAATAATTTCTGTATTGTAAAAATTAATTAGCGCTGCAGCCATTCATTTCTCAGGCATGATTAGAGCACTTCTAACAGGGGTGACCTGATGACTCTGCGGCAGGAGCCTCTGCTGCTTTGATCTGGCCTAGAAAACACCCGGAAGGCCCCATTTGAAATGGGTGTAGAATGAAAGAGCTGATTGCAGCCGGGGAGGAGGGGGCGTTGGAGGGTGCTGAGACGCGTTTGGGGCATTTTCTGGGGTGAAACAAATCATGGAGTATAATGAAAAGAGGGGGGGGCTTAATGGAATGGAGGCTTTCAGGCAGAGATGTAAGGTTTGTGCAAGGGAGAAGGCAGTTAGAGGGGCAGTCAGGCATCGTTCAGTCAGTGTATGTGTCATGAAAGGGACAAGAGGAGGGGGAAGGGAAGAAGACAGAGAGACATTTTAAATGTAAAAACCAGCAAGATCCAAGCAGGCACTGAGTGTTTTATATGGACAGGGTGCTTCAGAAGGGTCAGGCTGAGGGATTCTTATGCACAACATGGGGCTGAGCCCAAGCGCAGAAGGGGAGGTGGATGGTTCTGTTGTGAAGGCATACTCTCGAGGATCACATTCTAGTACTAAATTCAGTAAGAACCATACAGTGGACCCTCTACTTACGGAATTAATCCGTATTGGAACGGTGGCTGCAAGTCGAAAAGTCTGTAGGTCGAGTCTCCATTGACCTACAATGCATTGAAAACTGATTAATCCCGTAACCGGCCGTTTTTGTTCCATTTTGGGTTTTTTCTGGTCTGTAGGTCGATTCTCAGGCTGCAAGGCGAACCTAAATTTTGTGGCCAGAGAAGTCTGTAACTCAAAAAGTCTGTAAGTCGAGCCGTCTGTAAATTGAGGGTCCACTGTACCATGCTTGTGGGTGCAGCGGAGACAATGCATTGAAAACTGATTAATCCCGTAACCGGCCGTTTTTGTTCCATTTTGGGTTTTTTCTGGTCTGTAGGTCGATTCTCAGGCTGCAAGGCGAACCTAAATTTTGTGGCCAGAGAAGTCTGTAACTCAAAAAGTCTGTAAGTCGAGCCGTCTGTAAATTGAGGGTCCACTGTACCATGCTTGTGGGTGCAGCGGAGTATCTGCAGTGTAAGTCGAGGGTCCACTGTACCATGCTTCTGGGTGCAGCGGAATATCTGCAGGCTTGTGGGAACCTGAGGCTTTTCAGAAACCTGCACTTCTATGAGAGGAGACCTTTATGTGGAGAACAGCCCAATGGGAACTAAGCAATAGCATGTTGTGGGTAAAGATTTCTCGTTTTAGGGGGATAAGTCAAAAAGCCACAGGGAAGTGGGGAAAGAATAGAGTATCCTGAAAAAGAAAGTGGCTGGATGTGACCACTACAACATTTTGCTCTAGGTCCAGCGAATTAAAGTGTGTTCATTGTGCAAGGAATCTCTATGTTCAGGAGCAATGTATAGCTCACTACAGTATTAGCTACTGGAGATGTATGGTGTGGCAGGGAAGGGAGCGGGGTTGCTCTTGACTTATGAGATTCCTTGAGGGTATCTGGCTGGCCACTGTTGGAAACAGGAAGCTAGACTAGAGGAGTCCTTAGTCAAATCCAGCAGGGGCTCTCTTATTCTTGGGAAAAGGAACCATTCCAAGCTCCCTCTCTCTCTCTGTCTTTCTCTCATGCACACACACATGCACACACACACACCGAGTTCGCAATTTACTAAGCTCAGAAGCATGGAAGGCTGAGTCAGTCTTGAGCTGGCTAAGTGAATCTTCTGGGATTGAACGCAGGTCATGAGCAGAGTCTTGACTGCAGTATTGCAGTTTAACCACTGTTCCACGAGACTCTCATCTTGCTAAGATAATAAGCCTCATTTTCTGAGGTTTATAAACAGTCACCCCTCATTCAGTTGCTCAAGTCCCTACTGTATCAGTTTCTTCCTGTGCTAAAGAGAGGGGCTGCTTTTGCACACAACCGGACCGTTTTTCTGGTATCACTTGGTTTACACTGAATGAGCAGCATGCAAATCATTCACTTGTCCTTTTGCACAAGCAGCCAGGATGCTTTCACTTCTTGTGATGTCCAAACAAATGGTCTTGATTTGTTGCTCCAAAACAACCCAGTAAGCCAGCAGTAATCTCTGGTATAAGTTTGGCATATGAAAGCTGGTGCGAAAGGGCCCCATTGAGATTCAACTTTGCCCAAATTTAATTTAATTTCTCACTCTTGTTGAATGAGGGAGCCACCAGGGAAAATTCTCTTTCCCACACATAGTTTGGAAATGCATGATGACGTTTATATGATTTCCCTTTTTCCCTCTGCAGAGAGAAAGGTGAAAGGAGGTGGGTGTAAAAGGCAGCCCTCCAGGTGTTTTGGGGGTTGCAAGTCCCAGCATTCCTCGCTGAACTGCAGCCCAACGACAAAGAGGGTCCCTCTTTGCCAACCTTTGGTGATGTTTCAGAGGAGGCAGGACTTGTGGCGTCAGCGCAAGCAGCTCTGAGCAGGCAGGGCTCCATACTTGGCCATCCATTGGCTCATCAGAGGCCCCCTCTGTCCCTCGGACTGACCCGTTTCCCCACCCTGGTCTGTACTACCTATGTAAAATAAAACTAATATTTGTCTGGGTTGGTTCTCTGAGCTTGCAGCAGCTCCAAGGGACCTGCCATTTAGGCTTGGGCGCCTAACTTGATTTTCAGCTCCTCAAACGACTGTGCAGCAGTCCAGCATCAGGGGAGCCGTGCTGCCTAGAATCTGGCCTGGGCCTGAATCCTGTGTGCAAAACAGGAAGCTGGCATGCTGCTGAAGTGATTCATGCCCTTTGAGTTCAATTAGAGTGGCATGTTTGAAGCCTGCTGGGCACGCGGAGGTGGGGAGCAGCATGCTTCTGTTGATCACAGCTTAGCTGGGGCACAGATGGGGCTGAAGGAGAGAGGGTGGCAGGAAGAGAGGAGGGGAGTGCTGACTCCTTCCTCCAAACTGCTGTATGGCACAGCACATAACCTCAGATTGCGAGTGGGGCAGGGCTTGGGTAAGGGGAGCCTTGCTTGAATGAGTCACATTGGCTTCTCTCCCCATGTCCAGAATCTCCCATCAGTAAACTGTTGTGGGCTTGATGACACGATCAAGCTCCTTTGGTCCTGTTAGAGAGCTTGCTATGTCAGGATAACATGTGAGAGATTCCTACCTCCTCAGGCTTCATTGCCTGTACCAGAGTTTGCCACCAGAGTTTGAGCTGGAGAACTCTGGATACCCTCGGCATCTTCAGCAAAAGGCGACCGGCACCCACTGGATGTCTTGCATTAAGGTCAAGATGTTCCACCTCCCTCTTTTCAGCTCATTCTGCTGCTAGAGGCAGTTGTATTGTTTATACATTGTGTGTTCCCCTGAGAAGACAACAGAACACACACGGAGAAGATGCTGATTGTTCCAAGAGTTCTTTTAATTTTGGTGTCAGAAGCTTATGACTGAAAAGGATCAGGAAGTCTCCTAGTTGGAATGCCTGCACAAGATGGGAGCCGTGGGCGTCTTCTGTCCCAAACACTCATAACAAAATTGTGTCCACACAGGCCGTTGAGTATGGGATGTCTGGATTCCCACTTTTTTAAAAACTAAGCATCTATAGCTTGTGGCCAGTGCCTGTTGTGCTGTCTATCTTTTCAAGCCTGATTAGTGGTGATTTTACGCATTTGACATGCAGTTGCCATGCCATTCTCTTCAGTGTTTGCATCCAAAGCACTGCCATGTCTTCTCAGAACTACTGAGGCATATACAGTTAGGAATAAGAGTTTGGATTAGTAGATTCATAGATTAATATGTTATAAATCAACAGGGAATTTGTATTTTAAATTTAGGCCCCTTTGGGTGTATCAGGTAAGGGAATAAGATTTTTTTATACGGAGAAAAATATATATTGATGGATTTTGTGGCTCTGTGTGTGCGTGCCTGATGTTCACTGGGAGGAAACAGTGCTTCAAGCTTTGCTAAAGAGCAGGGAAGCAAGCCAGCGTCATGGATATAATGAAGATTACAGCGTGTCAGAAACAGAAGGGAAGAGAGCAAGATGTGCCATTTCAGAGGTGCCAGTGGTATAAGAAAAAGTTAACTCACACAGCCGATAAGAGTCAACTGTGTGCTTCATGCAGCAGAAAAGTTGGGAAGGAAATCAGCTACTAACCCAGGGAAGCACAGCCTATGGTTCTTTGTGGTCTTAGCTGCTTGCTGGTGCATCCTCGGAAGCCCAATGCCCTCTACCCACTTTGCCCTGCCATGCAGCTGAATAGCTGGCCCATGTACAGCCTCTGTCCCAAAGGGGCCGGGCCCTTGGGGGTGTGTGCAAAGGTTTTACACCTGTCTGGCAAGGCTGATGTTCAGGTTTTGAAACTTTAGACAGGTGAACGGTTCTTAGGGAGGTCATCGGGTATGTTTCACAAAGCTCCTTAGGCTGTCCTTTGATTGGCAGATTTCTAAGACCGCCTTCCTTTATGTCTCTGCTTCAGGTGCTGATTCTTGCTGATGGAGATACAGCAGGGTTCCTGTACCAGCAGCTTGACTTCTTGTCCTCACTGGAGAAGAAAGAGGGGAAAGCCACTGCTTACCTCTGTGAGAACTTTGCCTGCTCCTTGCCTGTCACCTCCAGCCAGGAGCTGCGCCGCATGTTGCTTTCCTGAGGAGTTAGCGACCTTCCTCCTCTGTGGCCCTGGAGTTCAGTGGATGTGTGAAGAGAGAGCCTCAGATTTAACAAGACAATACTTAGTGGCTTGGCCTTCCCAATAAAGTTGCCTTTAGACTAGCCTGCTTGTAGGTCTTTCAGCTTTCCTGTTTCTGTCACAAAATCATCTTCTTTCCCATCTCTCCTCTTAAGAAGATGCCTGTTTAGTGGGCCTCAGATTTACCATCGGGGGCAAAGGATGTTACCTTATGGGAACAGATGTGAGTTTGAGTCTCACTTTCAAGGCCCTGAGCGGTGAAATCTTTGGTACTGTGGGTTAAACAGAGGTGGGCAAGCTATGAGGTTCTGGAGGCCATATATTCTAGAGGCTTGCAGGAGGAGAAGTCACTGTCCTTTTTTATTTGAAGAAAGTGGGAGGGCTGTTTTTTGTTTTTTTTGTTTGGTTTGGGATGATTGAGCATTGTTGTTTTTTAGGAAACAGTCCCCCCCCCTTTGACCAGAGAGGGCATCACGACCAAGACCCCCAAAAATGGCCTTTGAGACACATGGTGACCAACCTACCCTGCAGAAAACATTTTTCTCAGCTCTGATTGAACAGCACCATGGTTTCTATAGGACCTCAAGGTTTTCTGTAACCCTCAGTGAGATTATTTTTCTTACTTTTTACAGGAATTATATATTTTCAACCCACTACCTCAAGCCTCCAGACTTTTCAGCTGACTAAGTCAAGGGCAATTCTGTTTCTTCCTAAATCTCCTCTACGATTAAATAATGTTCCAATCCTGCTTGGCTCTTCTGCGATGTTTCAGGGGCAAGAACTGTCCTTTTCCCTAAAAGAGTAACAGTCTCAGTTCCTCTGATGATCTTAAGCAGTGTCCTCTACATGTCCCTCACTGGCCATGGAGGGCATAATGTTGGGGAAAGCTGAAACAGTTCTGCATTTATTGCCTGCCCATCTTTGTATTAGTGGTATTTTTATGTTGGTATGTAAGTGGCTTTTAACTAGAATGGCTAAAATAGAATCTTCATATTCCTTCATCCACTCAGAGCTGTCTGGTGTGATACTTGAGGTCTAAGACAGTCCATGCTGTGGCCAATACTTGCTGAATATTTTAAGTTACTGTGCAGATGGAGGGTTAACCTTCCACATTTTAATGTGAATGAGAAAGCCAGCAAACAGAGGTAACATATCCAGGACAACGTCACTCCAGATGGAATATGTGGGATCATATTAAAACATAGCTAGGTAGTCTTCTAATAGATGGCATGACTGCATTGTTCAGGCTCTAATAGTAGAATGCATTAAGGTGACATGAGACTGAATCTTGAGCTTTTTCTTTTTCCAGAAAAATACGAAGTTTCTAGCTAACAGAAATGTGAAAAAAAGCTTGAAATTGTAGCGCACACTCTCTCTTTCTGTGTTGTGTATATAATGTGCATTTGAAAAATTCGTAAAATAATTTATAGAATTCAGGCATGTTATACTGTATTTCTGAATCTAACTCTCCCCCACTGACCTGCTTGTGCACAGCCATTTATAAACTTCCAAGAATGCACTGCTCTAAAATTTAAGGGACTTGGATCTTGCTTACTTGTGCTCTGTGTAGTTTAGCTCTAAAAGATCAGTCATTGCTGGAGAGAAGCACTAGAGAGACTCTCCAGCGAGTGACTGTCTTTCTGTGCAGCCCGCAAGAATTATTGTATCTTTTTCTCTGCCGAAGTCAATCCTTCCCTCGGCTGAAACCTTGAACTTCCCCATCCCTGATGCTCCCACAAGGGAGGCAGTGCACAGTTCCAGGAGGTGTCTTTTGACACCAGCAGGTGAGGCTGTCAGCAGAAGTGGGGGTTGTCGATGTTGACTTTTTCGGCATAACTAGATAACTGACTAGTGAAAAGTCAAATTCGTTAACACCTTTGGGCAAGCAGTTCCCCCCCGGAACTGCCGAGGGCACTGCAAGTTGCCAGCTCCCTACTGGGGATGATGAAGGGATCTTTCAACCAGAATGCCAGAAAGAGAGCCAGCATCGGCTGTCATACAAAACCAAGAAGCCGCCGTTCCCACCCTGGCTGCTCTTCCTGGCCATCTTGGGGCAGCAGCGGCTCAATTATTTAACACCCTCCTCACCTACAGTAGAGCTAGAGATGCCCTTCATCCGGGCAAGGCTCCTGCTTCTTTTTAATTTTCTTATGTCAGGTATGCAGGAGTTGCCAGGAATCAATCTTTGCACCTGTGCCAAAAGAGAGGAGGGGTGGGTGGGAATGGGTCGGGCGAGGGAGCCGGATGTCACTTTCTGGAGTGAAAGAGAAGCTATTTTAAGATGCTGGCAGGCCGTACCAGTGTGATCCGTATTATGTCCCCATAGGTCCTTCCAGTCATATATTTTTAATGCTTTTGGTCTGCTTCATAAACAGAATTCTGCAAAGGTCTGGATCACACCTTCTACTTGTCACCTGCCTGTGTCTTCCTGCTACTTTCCACTTTCTGATGAGTTAAAAATAGACCAGCTGCTGATGGTTGTGCTGGCTCGGACATTCTGGTAGTCCAGAAGAATAACTTCCTCAAGTTCGGGTCTGGTTCTGCCATCCTCCCGTTTACTGAGATGTAACAGATCAGAATCCCTGGGTTATAGTGCAGTGATGTGAGGATAAAGCTTTCTGAGTTAAGCAACAGCAGAATGGTCACATCCCTGCTGGAAATGGATACCTAGTCAACTTTGTTTCGGGTTTTTCTTTTGTATAGACTGGAGGTAGCCACAAAAATGACCGGGGTCTTAGTAAACGGGGAGAGGGTTGCATTTAGTTGCTGACCAAGTAGTGGCTCTCCCTTTTTACTGAAACTGGGGAGTTTGGATTGAGGAGTACCTCCCATGGATTTCTGCCAGTCCTGTACTCTCTTCTGGCACTTTGACCTCGAAAGGTCGTTGGGCTCCCAGCCAAGCAGTACTGGAGAAACTTTTGCACAGGACAGAAAGGTCCCCGGGAACAAGGAACATGAGATTTCTCGGGAGCAGAAGTGCTGGCTGTGCTATGACAGTGATGGATAGATTCAGTTATGGGGTCTCCTGACCCTGCTGCTGTTCCTAGCAGTAAATTAGATAATGGTGCTTCCAAACGTGATAGGAACACTTTTGCTCACTGCTGTCCCAGTTCCCTCATTAGTTTTGCTTTGTGACAAGAGGATCACACCCCAGCCAGAAGAGTGGGACACATTCCTGCCTGTGTTGCTGTGAGGGTTTGGGTGGTGAATAAAATGCTAGCATAGAGGGAATGAGAGCGCAGGGTAGCACCTCCTTGGTGGGTTGGTGCTAGCAGCAGAATGACCCAGAAGCTCAGTGTCACTTGGGTGGAAAGAGAGGATGTTGCCTGGCCCAGCAGCTGCTGGGTTATCAGCTTGGTCTGTGTGTGTGTCAGTCACCCTTGTGAGCTAATCAGGACTGTCCCAGAAGGGCTGGGGTCTCCAATTCAGAGACTTTAGCCAAGGGCGGGCCACTTGTAGCCTTCCCGATGTTGAACCACAACTCCCATCAACCTCTGCTGGCCCAGAATGGAGAAGGTGTGCTCTTCATTTTGCTACTACCAGTCCAATGCAGGCAAGACTAAGGGAGAGAGTTCAAGAGCTTGACCACTACAAAGCAGCTTCATGCATATGATAATCTGTAAATTAGGTACTGGCAGGGCGGGGGGAGGAGAAAAAGAGTCCCAAGGAAAGATGGTCTATAATACAGTGGTGCCTCGCATAGTGAGGTTAATCCGTTCCGGATTAATCTTCGCTATAGCGAAACATCACTAAACGGAATTTAAAAAGCCATAGAAACGCATTGAACTTCGTTCAATGCGTTCCTATGGCTTTAAAACTCACCGTTAAGCGATGTTCCTCCATAGCGCCGCCATTTTCGCGCCCTCGGTAACATATGATAATCTGTAAATTAGGTACTGGCGGGGCGGGTGGAGGAGAAAGAGAGTCCCAAGGAAAGATGGTCTATAATATATTCGTTTGCTGGCTTATAAGCAGAGCTCTCAACCTTATTAAGTATAAATGATCTTTACAACCACTGGCTCTGCTTGCAGGGTGATTAAGGGAGATCTAGTCTGGAAATTAGCTTTTCTAAACTCTGCCATGATTATACATGGAATCATCACACAACCTCTTTTGTTGTTGTTGTTGTTTTTCTGGGTGCTCTGTGTTTCAGACCATTGCAAGTGAAAAAGAATGTTCTGTGTGTTCCCTGTTAAAGTTTCCCGCAGAACATGATGAGTATCTTTTACAGCTGTCATCTTGGCTTCACATTTCTTGCAAAGTTTTGATTTGGCCCCCTCCGGTTATGCTTGTGGGGGCACCACAGGCTGTTTTGAGTCAGAGCATGCTGGCACACTTGACTAGTTTGAAACAGGCTGGCTTCTGCTGAGAAACTTGGTCCAGTTATTTGTGAGCTATTAAATGCTTGCTCCTCCTATTAATTTCAAGAGCCCTGTTTTCTTGCTGGTAGTAAACATTCTACGGGGAGTGTGGCGGTCAGAATCCATTGGAAACTCAAATTCTGGGTTGGGGGTAATAGTTTGTATTAATAGTTCATGTGTGTGCTAATAAAAAAAAAGAGGAATTAGGAAAAACACACTTTTTTATCATGAAATGAACAATAAATAAATACAAGCATTAAGAAAATAGCCACTATGGTGTAGTAGAGAGAGTGACAGATTAGGACTCAGGAGATCTGGATTTGAATCCCTGCTCTGGCATGGAAACTCACTGGGAATGTGTATGACAGCCACCTCTTCAATATCTCACATACCTTGAAAGCCCTACTAGAGTTGCAATAAGTCAGTTCCGCCTTGACACCACATAACAGGAAATATTAAGAGTTTTGTGTTTATTTTTCATCTCTTTAGTTTTTGCAGGACATTTTAGTAGGATAGCTGTGCCCGTCTCTTCTTTGTAACAGAGGACAGAAAAAGAGTCCCTTGAGTACTATATCTGGATTTTTAACAGAATGCATAGAATGTATGAACCGTGGCTAATGACTAGAAGCAAGTGGCGGCCGAGCTATATTTTGTGCTTTTGATAGGGCAGTTCAGCATGTTAAGTAAGAAACAAATAAGCAACTGTGGGTAATGCAGCATCTCGCTAAGATACAGTTTAAACCAGTGATGGCTAACCTTTTTGAGCCCGAGTGCCCAAACTGGGGAGAGAAGAAAACATCAGCCGGCGGTGGCAGCAGCAGCGGAAGTGGCGGCAGAAGAAGGGAATCCTGGGCATGGAGGTGCCTCCAGACCCCACTCTGGATCCTCCTCCAGTCATGCCCAACCCTCGAAGGGAATCCTGGGCACGGAGGGCCCTCCAGACCCCACTCTGGATCCACCTCCAATCATGCCCATCCCCCGCCAGGGCCAGCTGCTCCAGATCCTGGCCCGCCACCTGTTGGGGTGATACCACCGTGGCTGCAGCCACCTCCTCAAGTTTGGCTGCCGGGAGTAGTGATCTGGCAACTTACGGCTCTCGTCCCCGCAGAGAGAGCTCTGTGTGCCGGCTGTGGCACGCGTGCCGTAAGTTCACCATCGCTGGTTTAGACGATATTGCTGTGTGAGAAGGCTTGGATGGGCCATTTGTTGCAGTAAAATGGGAATAATGCTACAGTATCCCAGCCCTTGAGAATCCCAATTGGAAGGAGACACCCCAGTGCAATTACTACAGTGATCTCTGGGAGTGCTATTGTCTACCCAGCCCTTGAGAATCCCAATTGGAAGGAGCCACTGTGAGGCCCCCAAGCAGGAGGCCTATGTAGGAGTGCCGTCGCTCCCGTCGCGGACCCAAAAAACCCAAACCTCTCCCCCTCCTTCACCACCCCATTGCGAAGACAAGCAGGTGGATACCCGCGAGTTGGGGGAAATGCAGGAAGATAGGGGGCCAAAGGATGTGGGTATCGACAGCAGTGACCTGGTACAGACCTTAAAGGGGTTAACCTTATCATCAGGGCCGGGGAAAGATTTTGCGGGAAAAGGGAAGAAGTCCCAGAAACCCAGATTCCAGTGAAAGGTTTAACTGGAC